ATAAAATAATTTGCAATAAAATGATTATTGGCATATGACATATATATTATTTTTTTATGATGTATTTTACAATGTTAATGTGAATTAAAGATAATTTTTTTATTTAAAAAATCAAAAACATTTTTCCTACAATCCTTTATTAAAAGAACTAATATTCAACTGCAGCTATGATATATTATCCACATAGTCCATTTGGTTTTTGAAAAAAATTAGCAAATCTATCTTAGCCAATCAGATATCTTTTGCCTATCATGCTTTTTTTAACTCTAAAAGTCCGAAAGATGAAAAAACAACTAATATTCTCGCTCAGCCCATTCTACATATCCAATTATTCTACCCTCATTATCTTCCAAATTTGCTAAGAAATTTAGAAATATATTCAGGATTTCAATTTCATATTATGACCTAAAATATTAAAAATTGATTAGAAGGGATAAAGAAATACAATGAACAAATGAATAAAAGAATAAATACTTACCGATTCTAATACCTTGCATTATTATATCCTGATAGATCGCATGAATCACAAGTGTATTTTGCACGTAGTTTCTTTTCAGTTGATGATTTGTATCATTTTATTTTAGGACATGCTTTTGTGTCATGATACTAATAAATTTTTAATTAATTTAGATTAAAAATAAGGAACAAAACCCCAAAAAAAGCAGCTGAAATTATATTAAAACATAGTGAGAGATACAACGAAATCCTGAAACCTGAAATTAACTGAAACTATATCTAAAACATAATAAGGATATGACAAAATTATTTTGAGAGAATTTCAGCGAGCATCTTTAGTTCAGGTTCATTTTCTTTGTTAGTATCATCAACTTGGATTTTTCGATTTCGCATTAATTTAGTATGTGTAATTACCATTTCTTTATGCTGATTAATAAACTGTCTTAGCCATTTGATAATTTCACCATGACTGTTATGTTCAATAGCACAGCATATTGAGTTAACTGCTGCACAAGTCCTCACACTTCTTCATATTTGGTCTTCTTTTTTGCTATGCAATGTAAAACAGTAATAATTATTATAAGAACAGTTGAAGGATTTGGAGTAAATATCATATCCAAAAAAATTTCTATAGCCTCTTGGCTTAATAAACAATAAGTCTCTGCTGCTACATTATTATTTTTTTGATCATCAATATACCATCGTGAATGTATCATTTGGATTTGAAATCCTGCGACTGTTAAAATCATTATTACTAGAAATAGTAGTGATAAACAATTTTATAGGATATATTAAACATGCAAGAACAAAGATAAGAAATAAGAATCAACTATTATCACAAAATATACATGTTTTTTATTTTCAGGTTGTACATCTGTAATCTTTCATACTTCGTGAATGCTATTTTCATCAACTTCAACAATTATCAATTTCAATAGAATTTGTTTAGCATTATACAGGTCTTCAATAAATCTATCTATCATATTAATGTCTGAATTCTATATAGCAAAAGTGTTAGATATTGGATTTTATTAATGATTTAAATTCAAAATTAGGATGCAAATTACCTTAACTATGTACGATCTAACTTTATTCATAATAAATTAAAGGCATTGCGCCATTTCCAAATGTTCAGCAGATAAGATATGAGGTATTAGATATTTAGACATCATTTTTTTAATATCAGAAAAAAGGTCATAGCTGACTGATATAATTCCCATACAGGTCGATAGCTTTTATTAAATAATCTTTCACTTTGAGATATTTTTTGATTAGACTTGACTATTTTTCATAAAAAAGTTTTTCACACAAATATTACAATATATAAAAAAAATCACAAACGAAACTATCATATTGATCACTAAGCTTAGATTTAAGATTTTTCGGTAGGTTTTCACTAATGTGAAAAATACAATAAATTAGGTAGGTTATTAAATATATTTGTCTGATTGCTACATCTGTAACAGGATTTGCATCAATAATGAATACTAATGGTTCAGTCATTGTTGTTTTTTGTACATACTAAGATTCATTTATAGGATTCAGTAGTTTCATCAAACACAAAAGCTTGTATAATAAAATAAGACTTAGTATTATTATTAACGACAAGGAAAAGTGAAAGTAGCATTTGGTAGCAATTGGTTTTAGCAGTATTTTCATTCAAAATAATGTTATAGTATTCCAACCAAAAAGCAATCTGAGTTGGAAACATCTAAAAAAGTTGGGCAAGTCTATTTTCTTCATCAAGTTGAAACTTGACAAACCATCCAGTAGAGTTCCATAATTCGATTTGATATTTAAATATTTGAAAATCAAATCAAATCAAATTAATGTTTGATTTGATCCGATCAAATTCAAATCAAGTATTCAAATATTGATTTGATTCGAATTAATAGTAAAGCCATCTCCAAAGCTTCAGAAGTGATTCTTACTAAGAAAACTATAGTAAAAAGCACCTTTGCAGCTACAGAAATGCCTTTTTTACTAAGAAAAACATAGTAAAAGTGCCTCTGCAGCTTTGAAAATGCTTTTTTTACTAAGTAAAACATAGTAAAAAACGCCTTCACGGCTTTTGAAGATGTTATTTTACTAAGAAAACATAGTAAAAAATACCTCTGTGGCTTCAAAAACGTTTTTTTAATAATAAAATAGTTATGAAGCTGAGATAGCAGTTTTTACTAAGTTTTCTTAGTAAAACTGAAGCTGTGATAGCAGTTATTACTAAGTTTTCTTAGTAAACTAAAGCTGCAATAGCAGTTATTACTAGGTTTTCTTAGTAAATCAAAGCCGCGATGGTGGTTATTACTAAGTTTTTTAATAAACTGAAGCCGCGATAGCAGTTTTTACTAAGTTTTCTTAGTAAAACTGAAGCTATGATGGCAGTTATTACTAAATTTTCTTAGTAAAACTGAGACTGCAGAGTTATTTTACTAAGTTTAATAGTAAAAATGCACCTGTTACTAAACTTACTTTGTAAAAGTTATTTTTGAAATTTTTTAGTACAATTACTAATAATTTTCTTAATTAAACTTTTATAATAACTTTATTTTAATATATCATTGTAAAAATTAAAAAATTTTTTATATTTGATTTGATTCGATTTGATCAAATATTTGATTTGATTTGATTTGATAAATATTTGATTTAATTTGATTCGATTCGATCAAATTCAAATTGATTCAAATTGATTTGATCAAATATTTTAGTTTGATTCGATTCAATTCAATTCGATTTGAAAAAATCAAATCAAATTCAAACTGCTTAAATATTTGATTCGATTCGATTTTGAGGAACCCTAACTAAAATAATACACTAAATTAAGAAAATATTTATTCAATCCTTATATAATAGAAGGAAAAATTCATTACTTATTAATAAAAGTTCAAAAGCTTTAAGAGCTTGTGATAGTTTATAATAACTCCTATCTTTACATTTACATAAATCTAATAAGTATTTACAAATCTGCACATGAAAACCAATCTAATCCTATGTTATTTCTTTAAGATTTGAGAATATAGTATTATTATGTCTTAAAATTATGTAGCTATAACTGGTTGATCATTAATATAATCACAATCCTAAAGCTTATAGAAATGTTTATTATGTTTAAAGTTTTTCCATTTAAATTCTTTATCAACAATAGAAGTTTGTCTATTTATATTGCTAAGATGCTTTCCATAATTAAAGGTATTTAATATAATATTTATAAATCAAGTTTCTTATTAATTAATAAATATTTAAAAAATATCAAAGGTTTTCATCAGGTTTACCATTTATTAATAAATACTAACTAGACTTTACTGATTCTTTATAATAGGTAAATCACAAAATAACTCCTCTATTATAATTGTTATAAAATTAATCATATGTGTTGTTTCACTTGATATACCCAAAAAATATTCAGGATAAATAAAAATTTGCATCTTATTAGATTGTAAAATTTATTTGTATTACTGAAATTAATTAATAGATAGATAGATAATATTAATTTATATTTACTTACTATCAGAAAATTGTGATCAGAAATGAAAATAGGTTTATTTGATATTGTTACAGATTTATTATTGTAAGAAAATATGACACAGCAAATGATCAACATTTTCACAAAATTGATTTTGATCTACTGGATGACCTACAAATGCTTTACATATGTAATATTAAAAATATTAAACAAATGTTACATAACTTATAATAGATAACTGATATATTAGACATAACAAACATATTGATTAATTAGACATGTATAATATATTAATTTTATCTTTCTATGTAAATTACTTTATATAAATAGGATGGTTTATAAATGTTAGCATCCAATATTAATATGCTTATTAATATTTTTATTGTTCTTTTATTTTTATTATTCTTATACATTTTTATCTATTTTACATGCGTAATATTAGAAATATAATGATTAATTACTACATAATTTATGATTTATAAAGTGTTCTTTTACTTAAAAATATACAAATTATTACAATTATTTTAATAAATCCAGTAAGCTATCAATAAAAAGCAACCACTCAAATGCTTCATCTACTGTTATGATTTGCAAAAATTATACGTTAACAATATTTATATAGCCTTAAATATTCTTTCAATTGCAGCAATTAATGGAACCTAATAATGTATTAATAATTAATTAAGAAAGTAAATAAGAATTATAAAGTAATTAACCTTAGCTTTATTATCCTACAAAATTAAAATGATGTTTTGTGAGAAGGCTGATATAAACAATTTTATATCTTTGATTGATGCTAAATAATAATGCTTGTATATATGATCACTCATTTAATTTCTTGCTACAGCTGCTAGTCATATTTGCTTAGGATAATAATGTCAATTAGCTTTCTTTGTTCCTAGATAATGAGTAGAGCTCCTAATGAGTTGAGTCGAGTCGAATCAAAAAATTTTAAAACTCTAACTCAACTCGATTCGAGTTATACTTAAATTTGACTCGACTCAACTCGAGTCAAATAAAAACCCCAAGGTCAATTTGTTCGCCTTCGATTTCATTCATTTTAATATCATCTGTGGACTGTGTTTTAGCTACGAATTGTTTTTTTATCTTAATCATAATTGTAAAAAAGAATGTCAATAATTATTGCTTCGTAATAAAATACATTAGTGATACTTACCCTGCTCTCCACATAATCAGAATCGTAATCGGAACTTGTTTTTGTTTCAGAATCATTAAATGGTCAGTTTCTTTTCCTAAGCACCTTTCCGTCCTCTTCCTAAAGAAAATTGTAAATCAATTATAAATGTAACTAACCTTGAAGTCAATGATTGTGTTTTTAACTGGACTCACATTTTATTCAAAGTCAATCCTTTTTTCGAGCTTTTTTGTGATTGTTTTTCGTAGAAAATAGCCTTGAACTCGTATGTCTTTTGTTGTGTCTAGAATATGTAAGTTGTAAAAATAGACCATTCAGTATGCAAATCAAGATGTAGTAAAGGTTTCAAGAATTAGCTAACCTCTTCGATATCAATCTTATTCTCCAGTTCTCTCTTTGTCCAATATTGTTTCACTACCTCTGACTTGCTTTGATCCTATTTTAAGGAAAGATTTTTTAGGGTTCAGAACGCTTGAAGTTGGGTATTTTTAATTATTGAACATCAAGTAAGTATGCACTAAAGGGACACACACAGCACAGAGGCCCTAACTCCAAAACACAGAGGTTCGGCAGAGGTAGTGTAAAATCCACACCAGCACAGAGGCATATTCTCCCATTGATACGGAGGTCAAACAAATGTTTTCTCACAACATGGGCTTGACACAGAGGTCAAGCAAATGACCCTCACGACACCAAAGGTCGATTGGAGGAGAATGGGATAGGACGATGGTACACAACATATTTACGTAACAAAGAAAGAAGTACGAAAGAAATAATATCTTAAAAGCATCCATACAAGCGCGTGCAGTCACTCTTCGATCTTGCTCTGTATCAACATCTTTGGCAATAGAACTAAGTGTTCCTTTGTATAGACTGTAAGCTTTATTTTTGTTCGTCGCAAGTTTGTGCTGCAAGAAGCTAAATAATGAGCAGGAAGTCAAATCGTCAAAGTATTTGTCAAACTTAGGCATAATGTGGAAAAAAAATTTAACTGCGTAATGCGTGTAGTTAACATGTTGCATCGATCATTTGATCGACAAAATTTTATGATTTTATGATTTATCTAATTTACCCCCCAGACTCTGATTGGTTATATTTAACTATGTTAATTGTCATGTACTTAGGGGGCGACAAATAAACATCAACACCTAAAAAAATTTTAAATCCCCCAGATACTTAATAAAAATTGAAACACTACCAGTGATAAATCACCTAAGCCTTAACCCTAATCCTAACTAATCTCAATTATACCAGCCAATCAGAGCCTGAGGGATAAATTAATAAACCCTGATTTTATGCCTTTTTTTTTACTTTGTGATATATAAATTGTGTTACATTTCTAACATCAAAAATGTTTGTGACTTCTCATAAAAATTTTTATAAACTTTTAAAAGTGAATGGTTTAGCCAGTTTAAGAAGATCTTATTGGAAAAATCATCTATTATTTAATATATTTATTATATGAATAATCAAAACTTTTTAAAACTCCTTTTTTATGTCTATTTAATTAATACTTTTCAACTATTTTTATTTAATTTTAAACAAAAAATTACATTATTTTTGGAATAAAAACACACTTTAAGT